TCTTTACTGCAGTGTTGCAGAGAGAAACACCCATTCCCCTCTACTGATATCTCTATTAGATGTGACCGAGGTCTGCAGCGGTGGACACATTATCTCAATGGCTACAATAAGGAACACGCTAGTGGAAGCATTAATGAGTGAGGGGCTGATCCTTTTCTTTTCATCCAAGGGTGCGTCCCAAATGGCACCCTATACTCTATATAGTGCACTACTTTTGACCAGAGCCCTATGAGCCCTGGTCAAAATTAGTGCAATATGTAGGAAATAGGGTGCCATTTGGGACACAGCCCCAGTTTCCTGTCTGGAAGAGAGGAGAGTTAGAGCCAAACAATCATGCTTCCCACCCACCCCCCCACTTCCTGTTCAATGGAGGTTGAGTACTTCCTGCATCCCTCTTTCTTTCTCTCTCATTCACTCTTCATCCCTCCTGCCCTCCAGCTGCCTATTTTTAGAACACAAGGCCCACAATGAGAAAAAACACGTGCACATTTATCTATATGCTAACAGCGCCTAATTTATCAACCATTACAGAGAACACATCCTAATTGTTAAATTGCTGCATATATATTCAGTCAATAAAAAAAAAACAAGTGCCATTTAAGATTGATTTATTGAAACCGTAATATGAACTGGTTATATCTTGGAACACAATCTTGAAAATGGTAGGAACCTCAGCAGTAACCTCAGCAGTGGCGGCTTGCATAAGCCTATGGCTGTGCAATGGCATAGCCTTGTTTTATTAATTTAGCAGACAAGACGCTCCTATTTCCCGAGGCCTTATCACAGTCAAGACACACCTAATATATCGTTTAAAAAAAAACATGTAATATAACAGAATAAAATAGAACAGAATATTTTTCCAAATGAAAAAAAAGTTGCCGGTGCGAAGTGATGCGCACCTCGTGCCTGGGACAGTAGTTCTCAAAGAGTGATCATTTGAAACGGGGCTCAATTTGGAGAATAAAAAAACAAAACATATATAAAACATCAGGGTTACAAACCAAAGTCGGTCTTCTTTTCAATATACAGAGGTTCGGTTTAGTTCATTCTGCCTGTTCTTTGGGATTTTCTAAATGGATGAACAATTCCACATTGAACATTGCATGGTGATGAATTACGGCCACAACATCTATTTGGTGAGTAGGGCATATGCTTAATGATTCTGATGAAAATACGCTCTGTCTTTATCAAACTAATGTTTTTGCATATTTTCAGTGTGGAACGTGTCTATGTTTAGGGCGGTTATAGCCCAGGCTAGCCAATTCTAAACGGCACTAGCAGTTTGCAAAGTAGTATACGCGGAAAATAGACGGGACTCAACTTTTCGAAAACTGCAGATCGTTGTTGGAAAACATATTTTCCTACTTCAATCAACCAGTCCATTTTCAATTTGTAATAAAACAGTCATCATTTGGCAAGGAATGTAGCTTGTGTATCCCATGAGTTAGATACGTTTTTATAGGCATTTATCTCTGTAGGCCTAACGGGAGCACTCAGTCTGCACGCGTGTGTGGAGGAAGCGGCCGGAACACAATTGAGTGAATGAGACACGGAGGGGAAAGGGAATTTAGGGAGAAGAACAGTGTGATGCTTGGTTTCTTTTTTGTTCTGCCCCGCAAACGCACATGCACAACTGGAACACTAGAGTCAAAGTAAATTAACGTGGTCTTCAAGACAACATTTCACTTGCCAGTTCGGGCAGCCAAAAAGGACATTCCACCAAAAAAGTGGGACAGTAAAAAAAAAAAAAATCTGATCTCTGATTAAAGATCGAGTTGACGTCCGTTAGAATACTCGATTACTCACGCCCATCCATGCGCGCAACCTTGTGACGGTCGCCACATCTGGATTAGGTAACACTGACTCTTCAACAAAACAAACATGTCACTTCCTCTCGACAGAGATTGAAGGAGTAGGGTGGGAGAGGGAAGGAGACCTCCTCTCCCCTCTGCTGCTCACAAGGAGGTGAGAGGAGACGAGGTGAGGAATACCACAGCCAATGAACTCTCTCTCTCGATCTCGATATAGAGGGTCCGGGAGGAAGGAATGGAGAGAGCGGAGAGAGTGTGAGAATGAGAGAACGAGGGAGAAAGACTAAAGAGAAAGACCTCAGCCATTGGATAAGAGACCCAGACCGAACCCACACTACACAGTCATGTGATCCTGCCCTGTCGCCAGGTAACCAATGTTAACAAACGTTGTCCATGGTCAACACTCTGGTCAAGACCGGTAGACCACTGAACCATAAAAATAGCCAATATAATATCTAAGGACTGAACTCTGCGTGCCAAGGTTACAGATGCCTAGCCCCAGACCTGCATGGGCTTTAGCCAACTGCTTTAGCAGATTTGGGGTCCATTCCATTTCAACTCTGCAAGGTATATATCATCAATAATCACATTGGACATGGGATTGGAGTCAAAACCATTTCTGTTCACATTTATGTCCTGTTCATATATTGTATCCTATTCCCTATATAGTGCCCATAGGCTTCTGGTCAAAATGCATGATGTAGGGCAGTGTTTCCCAACTCCAGTCTTCCAGTAACCCCAACAGCACACATTATGTAGGACAGTGTTTCCCAACTCCAGTCCTCCAGTAACCCCAACAGCACACATTATGTAGGACAGTGTTTCCCAACTCCAGTCCTCCAGTAACCCCAACAGCACACATTATGTAGGACAGTGTTTCCCAACTCCAGTCCTCCAGTAACCCCAACAGTACACATTATGTAGGACAGTGTTTCCCAACTCCAGTCCTCCAGTAACCCCAACAGCACACATTATGTAGGACAGTGTTTCCCAACTCCAGTCCTCCAGTAACCCCAACAGTACACATTATGTAGGACAGTGTTTCCCATCTCCAGTCCTCCAGTACCCAACAGCACACATTATGTAGGACAGTGTTTCCCACTCCTGTCCTCCAGTAACCCCAACAGCACACATTATGTAGGACAGTGTTTCCCAACTCCAGTCCTCCAGTAACCCCAACAGTACACATTATGTAGGACGTGTTTCCCAACTCCAGCCTCCAGTAACCCCAACAGCACACATTATGTAGAACAGTGTTTCCCAACTCCAGTCCTCCAGTACCCCAACAGTACACATTATGTAGAACAGTGTTTCCCAACTCCAGCCCTCCAGTAACCCCAACAGCACACATTATGTAGGACAGTGTTTCCCAACTCCAGTCCTCCAGTACCCCCAACAGCACACATTATGTAGGACAGTGTTTCCCAACTCCAGTCCTCCAGTAACCCCAACAGCACACATTATGTAGGACAGTGTTTCCCAACTCCAGTCCTCCAGTAACCCCAACAGCACACATTATGTAGAACAGTGTTTCCCAACTCCAGTCCTCCAGTACCCCAACAGCACACATTATGTAGGACAGTGTTTCCCAACTCCAGTCCTCCAGTAACCCCAACAGCACACATTATGTAGGACAGTGTTTCCCAACTCCAGTCCTCCAGTACCCCCAACAGCACACATTATGTAGGACAGTGTTTCCCAACTCCAGTCCTCCAGTACCCCCAACAGTACACATATGTAGGACAGTGTTTCCCAACTCCAGTCCTCCAGGAACCCCAACAGCACACATTATGTAGAACAGTGTTTCCCAACTCCAGTCCTCCAGTAACCCCAACAGTACACATTATGTAGGACAGTGTTTCCCAACTCCAGTCCTCCAGTAACCCCAACAGCACACATTATGTAGAACAGTGTTTCCCAACTCCAGTCCTCCAGTACCCCAACAGCACACATTTTAATTGTTACCCTGGACAAGCACACCTGATTCAACTAGTCATCAAGCCCTCAATGAGTTGAATCAGGTAAGAGGAAAATATAGTGTACCCTATAGAGGGCGTATAGTGTACCCTATAGAGGGCGTAGTGTACCCTATAGAGGGCGTAGTGTACCCTATAGAGGGCGTAGTGTACCCTATAGAGGGCGTAGTGTACCCTATAGAGGGCGTAGTGTACCCTATAGAGGGCGTAGTGTACCCTATAGAGGGCGTAGTGTACCCTATAGAGGGCGTAGTGTACCCTATAGAGGGCGTAGTGTACCCTATAGAGGGCGTAGTGACCCTATAGAGGGCGTAGTGTACCCTATAGAGGGCGTTAGTGTACCCTATAGATGGCGTAGTGTACCCTATAGAGGGCGTATAGTGTACCCTATAGAGGGCGTAGTGTACCCTATAGAGGGCGTAGTGTAACCCTATAGAGGGCGTAGTGTACCCTATAGAGGGCGTAGTGTACCCTATAGAGGGCGTTTGGGTACCCTATAGAGGGCATAGTGTACCCTATAGAGGGCATAGTGTACCCTATAGAGGGCGGTAGTGTACCCTATAGAGGGCGTAGTGTACCCTATAGAGGGCGTAGTGTACCCTATAGAGGGCGTAGTGTACCCTATAGAGGGCGTAGTGTACCCTATAGAGGGCGTAGTGTACCCTATAGAGGGCGTAGTGTACCCTATAGAGGGCGTAGTGTACCCTATAGAGGGCGTAGTGTACCCTATAGAGGGCGTAGTGTACCCTATAGAGGCGTAGTGTACCCTATAGAGGGCGTAGTGGTACCCTATAGAGGGCGTAGTGTACCCTATAGAGGGCGTAGTGTACCCTATAGAGGGCATAGTGTACCCTATAGAGGGGCGTAGTGTACCCTATAGAGGGCGTAGTGTACCCTATAGAGGGCATAGTGTACCCTATAGAGGGCGTAGTGTACCCTATAGAGGGCGTAGTGTACCCTATAGAGGGCATAGTGTACCCTATAGAGGGCGTAGTGTACCCTATAGAGGGCGTAGTGTACCCTATAGAGGGCGTAGTGTACCCTGTAGAGGGCATAGTGTACCCTATAGAGGGCATAGTGTACCCTATAGAGGGCGTAGTTGTACCCTATAGAGGGCGTTTGTGTACCCTATAGAGGGCGTAGTGTACCCTATAGAGGGCGTAGTGTACCCTATAGAGGGCGTAGTGTACCCTATAGAGGGCTTGTGTACCCTATAGAGGGCGTGTTGTAGCCTATAGAGGGCGTAGTGTACCCTATAGAAGGCGTAGTGTACCCTATAGATGGCGTAGTGTACCCTATAGAGGGCTTGTGTAGCCTATAGAGGGCTTGTTACCCTATAGAGGCGTAGTGTACCCTATAGAGGGCGTAGTGTACCCTATAGATTTCGTAGTGTACCCTATAGAGGGCGTAGTGTACCCTATAGAGGGCGTAGTGTACCCTATAGAGGGCGTAGTGTACCCTATAGAGGGCGTAGTGTACCCTATAGAGGGCGTTTGTGTACCCTATAGAGGGCGTAGTGTACCCTATAGAGGGCGTAGTGGTACCCTATAGAGGGCGTAGTGTACCCTATAGAGGGCGTAGTGTACCTATAGAGGGCGTAGTGTACCCTATAGAGGGCGTAGTGTACCCTATAGAAGGCGTAGTGTACCCTATAGATGGCGTAGTGTACCCTATAGAGGGCGTAGTGTAGCCTATAGAGGGCGTAGTGTACCCTATAGAGGGCGTAGTGTACCCTATAGAGGGCATAGTGTACCCTATAGAGGGCGTAGTGTACCCTATAGAGGGCGTAGTGTACCCTATAGAGGGCGTAGTGTACCCTATAGATGGCGTAGTGTACCCTATAGAGGGACGTAGTGTACCCTATAGAGGGGCGTAGTGTACCCTATAGATGGCGTAGTGTACCCTATAGAGGGCATAGTGTACCCTATAGAGGGCGTAGTGTACCCTATAGAGGGCGTAGTGTACCCTATAGAGGGCGTAGTGTACCCTATAGAGGGCGTAGTGTACCCTATAGAGGGCGTAGTGTACCCTATAGAGGGCGTAGTGTACCCTGTAGAGGGCATAGTGTACCCTATAGAGGGCATAGTGTACCCTATAGAGGGCTTGTGTACCCTATAGAGGGCGTAGTGTACCCTATAGAGGGCGTAGTGTACCCTGTAGAGGGCATAGTGTACCCTGTAGAGGGCATAGTGTACCCTATAGAGGGCGTAGTGTACCCTATAGAGGGCGTAGTGTACCCTATAGAGGGCGTAGTGTACCCTATAGAGGGCGTAGTGGAGGTTAGATATATCTCTGGGATAGAAAGGAGAGGGAGGGAGGTGGTCAGGACATGATCACTTCAACAGAGAGAGAGAGCTGCGCCTGATACACATCTCTGGAGAGAGAAGGAGATGGGGGAGACATGTCGGATGGGTTAAGGGAGAGAGAGGGGGAGGAGGTAGAGAGGGGGAGCAAGGGAGAAAGGGAGAGTGAGAAACGAGGTGCAAGAGAAGACAGTAGGAAACTAAAGTGGTGAGTGAAGGAGGGAGGGGGAGAGGAGGGGTGAGAGAAGTAGAGGGG